ACTGCACTCCAGTCTGGGCGACAGAGTGAGACTCCAACTCAAAAAAAAAAAAGAAAAGTACAGTATTAAGGAAAACAGATCTTTAAACACAGAAGAATCCATTTGACAGGCAGAGAAGAAAGCTGCATAAGGTAAAGCCCAAGCTGGTGCATGGCTGTGTCTATTAACTAGGGTTAATCCCAAACCTGTCTATCTGCCTCCAGATAAAAGACAGTTATTGTTGTCTAGTATGGCTAGAGCATAGTATGGGGAGTAGGGGTGGAATGGAGATGAAGATGATAAAGTGGGTGTGAACAGATTATGAGGAGCCTTGAATTCCATGCTAAAGAGCTTAGATCATACACTATAAGCAGGCAGTATGTGTAAATAACAAAGATTCTTAACCTCTTTTACAGCATGAACCTCTTTGGCAGTCTGGCTTATAGATCTCTCAGAAAAATGTTCTGTAAATGTATAAAATAATATACATAGTAACATAAAGGAAACCACTATTTTTTAAAGTTTTTAAAATATAACAAATGTGTGTTGTAGTTATATATGTATGTTTTATGCTTTAAATAACATCTGGTATCAGGTCTAATTACATAATTTTGAAGTAGTAATGAGTACAGATTATATTTTGAAATACCTGCAACAACTTTAATGTGATATGAAAATGTCAGTTTCTACTGGTGATAAATACATAGGGATTGCAATACTACTGTAGTTTATTGCATATACTTATTTAAGAAAATGCTAGATTTCAGCTAGATTATTGAAAATAAAGATTCAATTTTTTTTCCCAATCTAAATTCATGGAACCTGAAGTTCTAGCCACATCCTGGTCTTTGGATCCCAGGTTTAAAAATAATCCCAGTATAATGGTTTTAAGCAAGAGCATGACTTCAAATCTGTGTTTCAGAGAGATGATAAAGCAGTGTTCACTTCCTAACCTCTCTGCTGGATTGGGAAGATGACTTTTTTCTTCTGCTCCTCCTGTTACTTCTGGGAGCAACAACTAGTACTAACCTGCTGTTTCCTAACAACCAGGGTCTGCAGGGAGACTGAGCTGGTGAGTGTATATGTATGTAGGCATAATACTAGAAAATAAATTAGGAAGGTAGGTTGGGTCTGTTTTTGTGTTAAGCAGTGAATGCTAAGTTGTAATTTGTACTTAATTTGGTAGACAATTGGAAATGTTATAAATTTTTGGATAGAATAATGTGATTAGAGTTCTGTTTGAAAAATTAATCTAGAATAATGTATTGGTTAGATTATCAGAAAAGAAGATAGGGATGAAGAGACTAGTCCAAAAAATTAATTAATTTTTTAAAGACTGGATCTTGAAGTGATGTCTAAAGAGTCTGCTAAATTACTTTATTTCCCCAGTGTGCTGATCAGTTTGAAAAAGCATAGGTTGAAATAAACTACATACCTTTCAAGAGGTATGCACACCCCAGTGTGGGGGTCAGTGTGGAGGTCAGTTAACATTCTGTGTGGTCAAGAGTAGCCATCTCCAACCTTTTTGGCATCAGGTACCAGTTTCGTGGAAGACAGTTTTTCCACTGACCGGGAAAGGTGAAGGGTGCTTCCTGTAAATCCTCATTGCTAACGTTAATCTGTATTTGTGGCCACTCCCCAGCACTAGCATCACCACCTCAGCTCCGCCTCAGATCATCAGACATTAGATTTTCATAAGGAGCACGCAACCTGGATCCCTTACATGGTCAGTTCACAAATGAGACTCTAGTACTGCCAATGCCTTGACAGAAGGCGGAGCTCAGGTGCAAATGGTGAGGAGGGGGCAATAAATACAGAAGAACCTTTGCTTACTCATCCGCCACTCACCTCCTGCTGTGAGACCTGGTTTCTAACAGACCACAGACCAGTATCGGACCATGGTCCAGGTTTGGGGACCCCTGCCTGAAACCTCTTGGATGGGTAAAACACATTAGCAAACAAAAAGGAAAGTTCTCAAGGCCCAGGTAACTCATCTCCTTCAAAACTGATCAATATCAGACTATATAAAAATTTACTGCTCAAATCCCAACTGGTACCCAAATTATGTGCTTTTTAATCATATTTTAAAAATTGAACTTGGGGTCCAAGTATTACTAATCCAAATGAGTAATGTAAAATTAACTTCCAGAACCAGATTTCTCTGAAAGGCCACCATTGCTACCTACCTTCTTCAACATGACTAGCCTATATGTACTTTCCATCAAACAATTGAAGGCTTTTTGGATAGTGATGTGTAGTTCAACACAGACTGAAAAATCAAATTTATGTAGAGTTTGAGGTTCAGCTATCTGTTGCCTTTTGATGGGGGAGGGGAAGGGGAGTCTATCTGAAAGCAGAGATAATACTTAAACTTATGAAATTCTTTTTAAGAATTTTTATTACTTTCAGAAAATTTTAGAAAGTTCCTTTCTCTAGCTTCAAATTAAATGACTTCCTCTTCACAATCATGTTA